AGTCCCTGCAATTTCCCATGGTTGCCACGTGACCTCTGTGTCTCTTGAAGCGGAATACGATGAGAAGGTTTGGAGGCAGAGAGCCTGGGAGAGGAATCCCTCCTTCTTCTCTTCCTAGCCCTGTGGATTTGGACACATTTCTCAGCTTCTCTAAGACTTGCTTTCCTAATCTGTCAGATGAGGTTACCCACCATTTAATGTAATATACGAACCTCAGAGGTTTTAGAAGCATAAAATGAGATAATGTATGTATAGTGCTCAGGACAGAGCCTGGTGCAGTGTAATTTTGGGGTGTGTGGCATTCATCATCTCTGTCATCAACTTTAGAATTGAGCTATCTAAATTTAGTTCAGATGGAGATGAGGGCTCTGTTGAGTTAAGGCTTTGGTCAAGATGTTACTTCAGGACAGTGCCTCCTCCCACCTGGCACCATAACAGGTCTCGATTTTTAAAATTCCCTGGCAATATCCACTGACATAGGAATGGTAAGGCCTGTGGATCATAGTGGGGTCTAATGGAGGCCTTGCTGACCAAGGTCTGAGGGTCCCCTCTTCCCCTGCCCACTTTGCTGGGAAGAGTGTTTCTCTAGTACAGTGTTGGGCCAATGTCTTATTTTTCTCTTGCTTCTTTTGCATTCTTGTTTGGAGTGTGTTTAACCTCGGAGCAGATAAGCTGGAGTGGGGGAGAATTGTAATAGCATGTTAAAACAAGAAGGAGCTTCGTTATCTCATCCCCCCCCTGCATTTTACCAATGAGGAAGGTGAAGCGGAGGGAATGCCCTTCTTGTAGGCAGCTGCATTTTTTTTTTTTTTTTGGCGCTGGCTTTCTTTTGGCCCTGGCTGGCAGCCATGACCCTGACTACAGCTCCTTAGATAGACACAGGCAGTCTCTGACTTGCTTGTGGGAGGGAGTTGGACCACGTATAACCAGAGCCTGTTTTCCTATCTTCCCCCGGAATTAGCTCCATGTTCTGCAAAAGCACAGAGCTTTGATTTGCATTGCTTTCCCTTTTCCACCCTCTCCATTGTGATTCGGGCTCCCACTGGCTCTTGCTCTCTCCTTTGCCCCCGCCATAGCTCTCTGGGAGGGTTTGTCTTCCGGCCAGACGGCTGAGCTTCTAGAAAGCTCCAGGATAAGGGAAAAGACCCAGTCTTTCCAGACTGAGGGGAACAGGAGCCAAACTGGCTGGAAGCCTGACAGGCTGAATTGATAACAGTGCTGTGTCTCTGAAGTAGCACAGCCAGGGGGATGCTGGCCAAGTGACCCCAGAGAGAGAAGCAGCTGCAGCTGGGAGAGACAGAGGAATGTAACACATATGAAAGGAGGAGCCTCATGTTGAGAACCACACACACACACACACACACACACACACTCTTATACACATACTACCTATAGACATACAAGAATAAAAAGGAAGGGAAACTGAGGCCCAGAGAAGAGAGGGAAGAAATTGGCAGCTTGCCTTCATGTGGGCTTCTCCCATAAGCCACCCTATTTCAGGCCTCCATCCCTCTAGCTGGTTGACACGCAGAGCTCCTTAAAATACCTGTCCCAAGCCTTATGGCTTAGCCTGTTTCTGAGGGTTGAGATAATCCCTTCTTTAGCTATGTTACTGTGATAAGCGGCACGTAGATGTTAAGCTCATGAGGCCATCTGATCCCTCCATCATTGTCTGAGCACGTGGAAGGCAGGTGGAGAAGGCGTGGGATACCCCAGACTGGCTGTGAAGACAAGGTGCAGGCAGGGTAACAAGCCCACGCTGAGTACCCTGGGCCTTTTTAGTTTGTTTTGCTTTACAATAATGCCTGAATATAAAAGTTAATATATATCCAAGGCATCAAAGTTTAAAATTATTAAAAAAAGAACAAAGAAAAAAAGTTACCCATAATGCCATTTCCCAGAGATATTAGGTTAAAACTGTATGCAGTTGCCATTTTTGTTGGTCAAGATGGCTGAATGTCAGCCATTTCATTTGGTTCAACCTAATATATTGGTGTATTTCCTTCCACATATTTTCTATTCCTTCAAGAATATATATTTGTGATCATGACATGTATACAAGCTTATGCCCAAATTTTTTTCAGAGAACATGATATTTTTTTTTCATAAAACATTATAATGTAAACATTTCCCCCATGCAATGAAAACCTTTCTCTCAACAGTCTTTTTAATGGTACGTAATATTGCACCATTTGGGAATATCAACGGCATTTCCCCAGTCCCATGTTGAGCTGTTCTAGCTCCTGTGTCCCATGGCCCAAGGGAAGAAACTGGGCCTCGTTTCTGGCATTCTTTTGGCCAGGGAACAGGCTGGGATCAGTTCCCAACAGAGCAGGGGGGTCTCTGGTGACAGGTCGCCGGAAGGCAGCTGGCCCTCGTCTCTCTGCAGGACGTGCTGAGTGCAGATGGAGGATGGGCAGTGGAAAAGTTTGCCTCTGAGAGGCTGGCCAGAATGGGGAGAAGGGCATGCTTGCTGCCAGGGACCAAAATAGGATGCTAGAGGAGACTCAGATTCCAGCAAGAGGTGTCTTTTGCCCAGACAGGATTATTTTAAGTGCTCAGGTATTTATTTTAGCCACTGACACATCTGCAGTCTCCGAGTTAACTGAACTAGGTTAGCCTGACAGGCCAGCTTTCTTCCCAGAGTGCTTTCTCTGTCTGAGGCTCTGCCATGGTCAGCCTCAGGGTCAGACCAAGCCCTTTGGGTGAGACAGAAATTGTCACCCTTTACCGTGTTTCCCACAATGTCTGTGCATCCAGGTGGTTTCCTAGTGGAAATGAGAGGATGACAGAGAAGGAGGGAGGGAGAGAGAAAGAGAAGAGCAAGGAAGGGGTGGGGATGGGAAGGGAGGAGGAGAAGAAGAGAAAGATGTAAGGAGGGATCCTGTCTGGTGCTGGCGCTGGCTATCAATCAACAGGAAAGTCACATAGCCTCTTGGAACCTCAGCTTTCTCACATGTGAAATGGGAATAATATTACCACGTAGGGTGGTTGTGAGGCTTAAATAGGTTATTGCACTGAAACTCCTGATACAGTACCTGGCACATGGTAAGTGCGCCAATCACTTAATACTGATATTTGTCACCTCCTCACTCCCTTGCCCCTCCTTTTAAACTCCCAGGAAGGGAGAGTCTAGCAATAATGTAAATGAAAATGCCAGCTTTTACTGAGCATTTACTATTCATTCAAAAAGTATTTGTAGAGGGCCTACTAAGTGCTGGGCACTTTGCTAAGCACTGGGATACAGCATAAAGGAAAGTAAGTTCTGCCCTCATGGAGTCTACATTCTAACAGGGGGAGGCAGACAGTAAACAAACACTGTGGGCAAATAAATTGACAGTAAAAGAACAATACGTCAAGTGGGGATAGTACTATGGAGAAAAATGTAGCAGGGCAAGGGATGGACAGTGGGTGCTGTTTTATATAAGGCATATGTGCCAGCCATTATAAGAACATTGAACATTCCCCCAATATTGTTTTTTTATATTTCGTAATCATTTTTAATTCTATTTCACATTATTTTCCATTATAGTTTATTACAAGAGATTGACTATAGTTCCCTGTGCTGTACAGCAGGACCTTGTTGTTTATCTAGTTTATATAGAGTAGTTTGTATCTGCTAATCCCAAACTCCTAATTTATCCCTTCCCCTCCTTCCCCTCTGGTAACCATAAATCTGTTTTCTATGTCTGAGTCTGTTTCTGTTTCGTAAGTAAGTTCATTTGTATCATACCAAAAATTACTGTTTAATAAAGCACTTTGGGACATGACGAGGACACCTCCAAGTACCAGGAAGGGTACTTGTTTTGCAGATTGGAGGTGGGAGCTGGAAAGTGGGGTGGGAAGCAGAGGCTCACAGAGCCAGGACTCCTGCCTCCCCTCCTGCATCCTCCACTGTTCCAGGGTTTGTCAACAGCGCAGGGGGAAGAGTGGTGTCGGGTGAGGAGTTTCTATAACTCAAGGCACAGACTCAGCCTGTTAACTCAATCCCTCTGGGACTGAGCTGTCAGCTTCACCAGTTCGGCAGACATCACTCGTTCTGAACGTCGGCTTCCTTAGCTTAGTGCCTTCCCTGGACAGCGCAGAGGTTCAGGGGCTAGAAGGCCTCAGAGAAGGCTGCCTGAGCTTTCCCCTGGTTCTGGTGGGTGGAGGCTTAGGGGAACGCAGAGGCAGGAAGTGTGGGGAGGTACACTGGTCCTTACCCAAAGGAACTCACAGGTCAGGGAGGTTTTCGTCCAAGCCTTGCTTTTACATGTGGGTCAATTGGGAGCCCTCTGAACAGTATTCTTTCTCCTGGGCACAAGGTTTGGGACCATGGTTACTCAGGGAAAATAGGTTTGATGTATGTTGCATGAGGGACCTGGGGTAAGGTCATGGTGTCTCTGTGAGGTGTGCACGTGCACACACATTTGTGCACGTATGTACAAACTGAAAGAACAAGGGCCATGTTCTCTGGCTGTATTCTTCTTCTTGGTCATCTCTGCCCTGCTCTGGAGCCCGTGGGGTTCAGTTTTTTCCCTTGTTCTTTTTTCCTGTCCCCTCTTCCTAATCCTTAGAAACTTGACTTTCCCCAGGCTGCCAGAATTAAGTGAGATGAGCTATAAAACTCTCTAGCCTACACATAGCACATAGCAGATGTTAAATTAATGTGAGCTTTTCTTTCTTTCTTCTTTTTGCTCTTAGCACCCTTTTCAAATTTCTCTTTGGGGCAATGTCACATACGAAAATTATTTTTTCTCTACCACCTCATACCACTTTCCCAATTACAACCTCTATTTACTATTTACTTAGCTATGTGTTGGGGGGGACCCAAAGGACGTAAATGAAAAGGTGAACAGTAGCCTTGTTTTGAGAGGTTGATCCTTCCAAGTGTATTAATGAAATCAATGGATCCCCAAGGGTAGTATTTCCATGGAGAGAATGTTCTGGGCTCTCAGGATACAAGTGAGGAATTCTCACTGGCCCTACCTCTTAGTCTCTGGCATCTCTTTGTCCCACAGTGGCAGATGAAATGCTGCAAGTGTGACTCCAGGTTGCCTCACAATTACAACAGTCACCGAGTGGAGAATGTGGTCTCGTCCTCGGGCCCCATGCGCTGGTGGCAGTCACAGAATGGTAAGGACCTGCCACAGCCTCCAGGGGCCCAAACATGTGGAGGCTCCCACAGGATGGGGAGGGTGCCCGGGAGCCCTTTGGGGTTCCCAGGGCTTTCTTATTGTAGTGGGACGTGGGTGGTTGACAAGTAGAACCTTCTCTCTTTGTATTTGAGGTCTTTCAGATGCTGTAGGTAGAATAATTTATTGGAGGTTAATGAAAGGGTCAGAAGAGAGAGAAATGCCTTAATTTCATTCTACTTAGTCACAGTGGGCTTGCTGATGGAACTGAGCTTTGCGAACAGATTTGTGTCGAACAGAGGAGTTGAAACTCCTCAAGGTTTTAAGGGCATCAAGTGATGGTGGGAAGGAAATTTGGCCAAGAAGAGATAGGATCTTGAATAGGTGATAGTAAGTAGAAACATACTGGTACCCCTCTTCTCTGAGAGGGAAATTGGAAAATCAAGGTTAGAGAGTTTCTGATTTCCTAGAGCCTGGGAAGGTAGAAATCCTCTGCTCTAAAGTTTCTACATTTTGTCTTTCCAGATGTGAGCCCTGTCTCTCTGCAGCTGGACCTAGACAGGAAATTCCAGCTTCAAGACATCATGATGGATTTTAAGGTGTGCTTCCTGGGCATGGCAGTGGTTAGGAGAGGGGGACTCTGGGCTGTGTGGGCGTGGACTCATGGGGAGCACAGGGTCCTTGTCTCCTCAGGTGGGAGGTGATGGTACCACATGCTGGGTGGGCCTCCCTTCCCCAGGCTGAGGTGACACTTACCCTGAGCCTGTGTCATGGTGACAGCAGAGGTACCCCTTCTGGGAGAACAGTGACGCCTCCACCTTCCCTGTCTTGGCTGTGTAGTGCTTATATATCCTCTCCCTCTTTGCATCCCCCACCCTTAGCCCATCTAATGTATTCAGCTCTGCCAAGACCAATTGTACAAAGCCTGGCCACGTATTATACAGTTGTGTTTTCTTGGTATACTCTGTTTTAATAACTTTGCTGATGAGATTGAGTTTAACAGACAGCCAAGAACTGGCCCATCCTCATGTAAGATGTGCTTTTGGAGCAATCTGCTCATTCAGTGCTATCACTTTTCAGACTCTGCTTTTAGACTAGCCTTTGGAGATGTGCCTTTTGGAGGGAACATTTTCATTCATTACCGACAGGACTTTTTTTTTTTTTCCTTTTCCTTTTCCTAATATCCTATGTGACTGAGGAAGTTGCTCTAAGAACATTGCCTCAAGAATAGGTCAAAAGTATTTTGAGACATTCTAGTGCCATTTGAACAAATGCTCAATCTCTAACAGTGACAACTTCTAAGGGAAATATTCATTTGGATGGATACTGGTAGTCTCATTGCTTTGTCATCACTCACCCATTCATTTATTTGTCCATTCTTGCTACACACATATTGAACACTGATTATATGCTGTTATAAAAGATGACTAAAACTAGATCACGATCCTCTAGTTACTTTGGTTTATGTAGGGAAGATAAAGAACCAGTAGCAAGACAGTGGGATGTGTGCTCTGATGTTGGTAAGAAGAGGTGCTAGAGAGCCCAGGAGGGGGACCTCCAGCTTGATCTGTCTTTGGGGGAGTGGATCAGAGAATACACCCAGGGGAAGATGAAACTTCCTAGGCCAGTAATATCCAGGTGAAGGGTAAGTTCATTCCAGGCAAAGAGAACAGCAAAGTGCAAGGGCCAGGAGGCAAGAGGCAAGAAGGTATATAATTGGGGGAAGGGGACAAAGGAACACATGTAGGGTCTGGTGGGGCAAATATGTATACAGTAGTGAGAGGTAGGGATGTGGAAGGCTACAAACTGAGGAGAGATGAGTTTACAGATGTAAATGGGGAGGGAGGAAAGTAGGTGAAAGATTCATCTATTCATTCAACAGATGTACTACTGCCTACTATGTGCTAGATGCTGGAGGTACACTGTGAACAAGATAGACAAGGTGGGGGAATTCCCTGGTGGTCCAGTGGTTAGGACTCTGTGCTTCCGCTGCACCACTGCAGAGGGCACCTGTTCAATCTCTGGTTGGGGAACTAAGATCCCGCAAGCCGTGCAGTGTGGCCAAGAAAAAAAAAAACAGATAGACAAGGGGGTCTATGGTTTACTGTAGTGGTTCTCAAGCAGGGGATATTTCGCAGTTTATAGAAAAAATTTTGGTTGTCACAGCTGTCAGTATGCTATTGACATTTAGTGAGAAGAGGTCAGGGATGCCGCGTAACATCCTAAAATGACAAGCACTGACCCCATGGCAAGGAATTATTCACCTTCAAATATTAACAGTGTCAAGTTTGGGAAACCCTGGTCTGGTAGGAGGAAAATAAAAAGCAGGAAACCAACAAATAAATAATTGGAAATTGTGTGACATTTACGAAGGAAACAAATGAGATCCTGGAATAGGAAATGATGGGGTGGGGTGGGCAGAGTGTGGGCAGAAGAATGCACGTTAGATAGGTATAAAATGATCTCTGTGAGGAAGTGACATTTAAGCTGAGAAGAAAAGATGTGGAGGAACCCATGAGGGGGAGGAGTATTCCAAGCAGAAGAAACAATATGAACAAAGGCTCTGAAGAGGGAATGTGACTGAGGGCTTGAGGAGATGGAGGTGCACAGTGGCATGAGACGGGGTGAGGGAGCAGGGCCCTCTTCAGCCATGGTCAGGAATTCAGATTTATTCAAGAACAGTGGGCAGAAATTTTGTATCCTTCAACCTTACCAAATTCATTGATTAGTTCTAGTAGTTTTCTGGTGGCATCTTTAAGCTTATCTACATATAGTATCATGTCATCTGCAAACAATGACAGTTTTACTTCTTCTTTTCCAATTTGCATTCCTTTATTTCTTTTTCTTCTCTGATTGTTGTGGCTAAGACTTCCAAAACTATGTTGAATAAGAGTTGTGTGAGTTGACATCCTTGTCTTGTTCCTGATCTTAGAGGAAATGCTTTCAGCTTGTCACCATTGAGTATGATGCTTGCAGTGGGTTTGTCATATATGGCCTTTATTATGTTGAGGCAGGTTCCCTCTGTGCCTATTTTCTTTAGAGTGTTTATCATAAATGGGTGTTGAATTTTGTCAAAAGCTTTTTCTACATCTATTGAGGAAATACTCCCATTTACCATTGCAACAAAAAGAATAAAATACCTAGGAATAAACCTGCCTAAGGAGGTGAAAGACTTGTGCTCAGAAACCTATAAAACACTGATGAAAGAAATCAAAGATGACACAAACAGATGGAGAAATAAACCATGTTCTTGGATTGGAAGAATCAGTATTGTGAAAATGACTGTACTACCCAAAGCAATCTACAGATTCAGTGCAATCCCTATCAAACTACCAATGGCATTTTTCACAGAATTAGAACAAAAAGTCTTACAGTTCGTATGGAAACACAAAAGACCCCTAATAGCCAAAACAATCTTGAGAAAGAAAAACGGAGTTGGAAGAATCAGGCTCCCCAACTTCAAACTATACCACAAAGCTACAGTAATCAAGACAGTATGGTACAAAAACAGAAATATAGATCAATGGTACAGGATGGAATGCCCAGAGATAAACCCACGTACATATAGTCACCTAATTTACGACAAAGGAGGCAAGAACATACAATAGAGAAAAGACAGCCTCTTCAATAAGTGGTGCTGGGAAAACTGGACAGCTACATGTAAAAGAATGGAATTAGAACACTACCTAACACCATACACAAAAACAAACTCCAAATGGATTAAAGACCTAAATGTAAGACCAGACACTATATAACTCTTAGAGGAAAACATAGGAAAAACACTCTGACATAAACTACAGCAAGATCCTTTTTGACCCACCTCCTAGAGTAATGGAAATAAAAACAAAAATAAATAAATAGGACTTAATTAAACTTAAAAGCTTTTGCACAGCAAAGGAGACCATAAATAGGACAAAAAGACAACCCTCAGAATGGGAGAAAATATTTGCAAATGAAACAACAGGCAAAGGATTAATCTCCAAAATATATAAACAGCTCATGGTGCTCAATATCAAAAAATAAACAATCTAATTAAAAAATTGGTGGAAGGCCTAAAAAGACATTTTTCCAAAGAAGATATACAGATTGCCAACAAACACATGAAAGGATGCTCAACATCACTAATCATTAGAGAAATGCAAATCAAAAGTACAATGAGGTATCACCTCACGCTGCTCAGAAAGGCCATTAGCAAAAAATCTAGAAACAATAAATGCTGCAAAGGGTGTAGTGAAAAGGGAAACCTCCTGCACTGTTGGTGAGAATGTAAATTGATACAGCCACTATGGAAAAACAGTATGGAGGTTCCTTAGAAAACTAAAAATAAAACTACCATATGACCCAGCAATCCCACTACTGGGCATATACTCTGAGAAAACCATAATTCCAAAAGAGACATGTACCACAATGTTCATAGCAGCATTATTTACAATTGCCAGGACATGGAAGCAACCTAAGTGTCCATCGACAGATGAATGGATAAAGAAGATGTAGCGCATATATACAATGGAATATTACTCTGCCATAAAAAGAAATGAAACTGAGTTATTTGTAGTGAGATGGATGGACCTGGAGAGTGTCATACAGAGTGAAGTAAGTCAGAAAGAGAAAAAAAAAATACTGTATGCTAATGCATATATATGGAATCTAATAAAACAGTACTGATGAACCTAGTTGCAGGGCAGAAATAATGATGTAGACATAGAGAATGGACTTGAGGACCCAGGGTGGGAGGGGGAAGGAAGCTGGGGTGAAGTGAGAGTAGCATCGACATATATACACTATCGAATGTAAAACAGCTCGTGGGATGCAGCAGCATAGCACAGGGAGATCAGCTTGGTGCTTTGTGGTGACCTAGAGGGGTAGGTTAGGGAGGATGGGAGGGAGGTTCAAGAGGGAGGGGATATGGGGACATATGTATATATATGGCTGATTCACCTTGGTGTACAATAGAAACTAACACAGTATTGTGAAGCAATTATACTCCAGTAAAGATCTATTAAAAAAAAAATAGTGGGCAGAGGACTTGAATAGGTAATTCTCTAAAGAAGACATACAAAGGGCCAACAGGTACATGGACAGATGCTCAACATCATTAACCATCAGGGAAATGCAAGTCAAAACCACAATGAGATGTCATTTCACACCTGTCAGAATAGCCATCATCAAAAAGATAAGGAATTCCCTGGTAGCCTAGTGGTTAGGCTTCTGGGCTTTCACTGCTGTGGCCTGGTTTCAGTCCCTGGTTGGGGAACATCCTGCAAGTCCCATGGTGCGGCCAAAGAAAAAAAGATGAGATAAGTGTTGGTGAAGGTGTGGAGAAAAGAGAATACTTGTGCACCATTAGAGGGAATGTAAATTGGTGCAGCCACTATGGAAACCAGTATGAAGTTTCCTCAGAAAGTTAAAAAAATAAATCTACCATATGATCCAGCAATCCTACTTCTGGGTATATATTGGAAGGAAATGGAATCACTTTTTCAAAGAGATATCTGTAACTCCCGTGTTCATTGCAATGTTATTCACAATAGCCAAGACATGAAAACAATGTAAGTGTCAGTCAGTGGATGAATGGATAAAGAAGATGTCACACACACACACACACACACACACACAGAGGAATATTCAGTCATGAAAAAAGAAGGAAATCCTGCCTCTTGGGACAACATGAATGGACTTTGAGGGCATTCTGCTAAGTGAAATGAGACAGAAAGACAAATACTGCATGTCTTCACTTATATACACAATCTTAAAAAGCTGAACTCATCAACATAGAGAAAAGGATGGTGGTTGCCAGGGGCTGGAGGGAGGGGGAAATGGGCGGATGTTGATCAAAGGATATAAACTTCCAGGTTTATAAGATGAATAAGTTCTACAGATCTAATGTATGGCGTGGTGACTATAATTAATAATACTGTACTAGACACCTGAAAGCTGTTAAATGACACACAGAAAGGTCATTATGTAAGCGGATAGAAGTGTTAGCTAACCTTATTGCAGTAATCATTTTGTAATATATATGTGTATCAAGTCATCACATTTGATACCCCTTAAACTTACATATGTGATATGTTCATAATATCTCAGTAAAGCTGGGGGAAAAAAAATAGTGGAAAGCCACTGGAAGGTTTTTAGTGGAGGGAGGGGAGTCATGGCTCACTTTACATTTTAGAAAGAAAGTTCTCTCTGTGTGGAGGTTGGCTTATGAACCCAAGGAAGTGTTCCAGGCTGGGACCTGTCAGCATGAAAACAACATTTAAAGCCATGAGAAATGGATGAAATCACTGAGAGAGGAAGTAGGGACATGACAGTATGTCATGCTAAGGGGCTTGCATTTTATCTTTAGGCCAGCGCAGACCCGTGGAAGGGTCTCATGCAGGGAGTGAAGTGATCAGATAACCCTGTGGGTGAAGTGGGGAGCGTGGCTTGGAGAGCCTGGACGAAAGCTGGGCTTGAGTTCCAGGCTGTTGTAGGAACCCAGGCTCAGTGCAACTGGGACCTGAACTATGGCCACGGCCACGCGAGGAAAAAGAGGAGGGACAGAATTGGGAGCTAGAGGTGATAAAAAATGGTTGGCTGTGGGAAGTGCAGTGGGAGAATTTTCTGGCCTGGCCACCTGGGTGGTGGGCTGAGCTAGGGATCATGCCTCCTGGAATGCAGATCTGCCTTCTATCACTTTCCACGGCTCCCCTGGGGAAAACCCGCTGGGGCCTGTGGTTTGTTAGGAGAATTGGACCCGAGTACCCCTGAGCCCACTTGTCCCATGCAGCCCCCTTTCTGCCTCCTCACTGTGGTTCTCAGGGGCCACCAGCACCTCTTTAAGAGCCTCTTTCTGTTATCGCGTCCCCACTGCGGTGTCACTCAGGCCCCAACCCTGTGTGTGTCTCTGCAGGGGCCCATGCCTGCTGGCATGCTGATCGAGCGCTCCTCGGACTTCGGCAAGACCTGGCAGGTGTACCAATACCTAGCTGCCGACTGCACGTCTGCCTTCCCCCAGGTCCGCCAGGGCCAGCCTCAGAGCTGGCAGGATGCTCGGTGCCAGCCTCTGCCCCAGAGGCCTAACAGGCGCCTGGATGGGGCCAAGGTAGGCAGAGGGACCCTGAAAATGTAGGCACGGGGAGAGGTCTCTCCCATCCCATCGCTACATGGTCACCAGGCTTTGGAGAATCTATGAGAACCACCCCCTTCCCCAGGCAGTGAGCCTTGCTGTCTTTCCTGAGCTCCCCAATAATGATCCCTCTGGGCACATCTTTGCTGCACATCTGCTTTGCTGCCCAGGAAGGATATTTCAGAAACACACTGAGTGTATTGCATAACCCAACCCAGCTCTCTCCTTGAATCCTCCCACCTGGGGTCAAATCCTTTCATTTCTTTCATCACTGCTCCCTCGCTCCCACCCTCAGGGGCTGTATTTTGTCTCCTTTCTCTGGCTGAGGCTCAGGGGAGCCCTCAGAGCTGCTCAGAGCGCTGCCTTTCCTGTAGGCAGTGCGTCTCTTTCCTTCCCTGCAACAACTCCTCCTTGGTTATTGCCGTATCTAGATCCACGTAACCACATGCCCCAGACCACACGTCAGAACACAGGACTTTTCCCTGATTTGTGGGAGGTTGATGTGAAAACTCTTCCTGGGATATGCAGCTGAAGTCACATCCAATGAGTGTTTTTTTTTAATCAAGTAAGAACGGCATAGTTGAGATTGGGGTTGTCTAGAGTGTGGCGGTCAGCACGTCCATGCATCCTTGGCTCTGGACCCTCTCACTCATCCTGGGTCTTTGGAAAATTAGTATCCCCTAAACCCTCATAATGTCTATTATATATCTTACTGTAACTTCTGACCCAAGGAAATCAGGAAATTCTTGGGATAGCTCTATTTTCAACTGGAGAGGAGAGGTTGTACACACACACACACACACACACACACACACACACACACACACTCATCTAAGGCCCAGTGATCATCTCCCTCCCCCAGAGTGATTGGCAGACCTCACATCCATGGTCATCTCAGGCTCCAGGTAAGAAAGACCTTAGTATGAGACGGTCAGGGCATTGAATGGAAAGGAGGACCTCTGGGCTTGGGCCACAGTTCACCTCTTCCTCAGGTCTTCCATTTCCCCTCTCTCTGCAGGTCCAACTTAACCTTATGGATTTAGCCTCTGGGATCCCAGCAACTCAAAGTCAAAAAATTCAAGGTCAGTGTGGCTACTCCTCTAGCCTGTGGGACTGTGGATGGGGAACAAAACATGGTTGCAACCCAGATCATGGACATTTCCTTGTCTTTCCTACCTCTGTCAACATGGTTGGATTGAACACTTGCCCTGCTCAGCCCATAGGGGTATTGTGGTGGCCCCAGAGGCTCAAAAGGCCTGAACCAGGGTGGACTGGGTCTTTTCTGTCGTGGGAAGGTTGAGGAAGATGGAATGGTGCGACCAGAATTCCTTTCCTTCTCATCCTGCCCTAGGAGTCTCTATTTGCCTCTAACTTCCTGTTCTTTATTTTCCCATCTCTACCCCCTCCCTCCTTGTTGTTTGTGCCCCTCAGAGCTGGGGGCGATCACAAACTTGAGAGTCAACTTCACCAGGCTGGCCCCTGTGCCCCAGAGGGGCTATCACCCTCCCAGTGCCTACTATGCCGTTTCCCAGCTGCGTCTGCAGGGGAGCTGTTTCTGTCACGGCCATGCTGACCGCTGTGCCCCCAATTCCAGAGCCCCTGCCAGCCCCTCCACCACTGTGCAGGTGACAGCCCAGGGAGGGGGAAAGGAGAGGGGAGGGGCAAGACCCGGGCAGACTGACGTCTTTGGCTTCTATAAAGGAGGGAGGGCACTAAATTTAAGACTCGAGTACTTAATATTTTAGCAATGGTGAAAATGATTCTAAATGATTATCATTTCAAAGGTCAGATTTTGCAGCACTTCTTTGGACCTGCTTTATGGTTTGAAGTTATTTTTATTCAGTAACATAGAAGTATATGTAAGTATAAGCATACATATAAGTAGAAGTATAAGCATGGGTGTTCGTGGGGGAGCTTAAGGCATTGATTTTCAGCACTGGCTGCACATTGTAATTTCCCGGGGAGCTAAAAAACATCACCCAGACCCACACCTTCATACACTCTGATTTTATTATTGTTATTTAAAGCCCCGGGTGATTCTAGCATCCTGCCAGGGTGGTTCTGACATCCTGCCATAGAGCCACTGGTTTGGGGACTGTAAAGTCCCATGTAGGGGTGAGATATGGGGCAGGGTGAGAGGACAGAGTCTAACACAGATGCTAAGTCCACCCCAGAGCTGTTGAGTCAGATGCATCAGGCACGGAAGAGAGAAACTCCAGCTTAAGAAGCAACCCAGGGGATTTTTCTGTGAAACCAAACTTGAGAACCATCAGTAGAGGAGAGAGAGTCGAGGACCAAGAAGCAGAGGGAGCTGTCATTTCACTTTTCTGGGGTTTCGGTTCTTCTGTTAACAGATGGGACTATGATATTTGCCCCAGTGATAGAGGCGCACGATGAAATCACGTAAAGCGACCCTTGAGGGAAATACAGGTGACATGAGCGTCGGGCAGCTTTATCCTTTCCACTTCTGGGCCAGCGCTTGCCCTAGGCTACAGAGGAAGGCAGAGGGAGACCAGTGCCAGAGATGTGTCATCCATTAGGGTCCATAAACAAAAGACCAGAACACAGGCTGAGCAGGATCGCTGGCCTATGAGGATGTAGAGGAGGGCAACGGCCTGCCCAGCCCCGGTGGTTCTCAAATCTGGCTGCACAATGGAATCACCGCTTTATAAAGTACCGATGGCTGGGCCTCGTCCCTGAGATTGGATTGAATTGGGCCTGGGCATTGGTGTGTTTTAAAAAGCTCCCCAGATAATTCTGAAGTGCATTCAGAGTTGAAATCCGTGGAATTAGAGAGACAAGGCAAGCCAGGTGAAGGACATGCCGTTCTAGCTGGCAGGATTTTGCTGGTGAATAGAGAGTGAGGGGACTTCTAGTCCGGAAGAAAAACGTCAGTACAGGCCAAAAGGTGGAGAAAAGTAGGGCTTGTCCTGGGAGCCGCTAGTTCAGCTCAGCTGTGCTGTTAGGAGTGAGTAGGGGATGAGGATGGAGCAAACACAATATAAGTCCTAGATGCCAGCCTGCCGGTGGTGAGCTTAATATGGAAGACAATTAGCACGCAATTGCTACTCTATTTTTATACCTTATTGAGTCTAGGAACAATTCATCATTGCAGTCTTATTAGCCAAACAACTGCAGTCATAGATTGTTGGAATGTACATCTCCAGAGGGCCCACAAGCTTCTAGAATCACAGTTTACCAACAAGGCTGTCTAAGCACTTTACAGGTGCTGCCTTGGACTGGGCAGCATGGGGATGGCCAAATGCAAGGGCTGAGCTTTTAAAAACCTAAATGGAGGAGCAGTGCGGGTGTGCATGCATGCGCACACACACACACACACACACACACACACACACACACACACACACAGACCACACAAGCCGGCATCTGGGAGTGTCATAGGAGCTGAGTGAAGGCTGGAGGAGCTGGGGTCTGAGCTGGGCCCTGGGGACAGAGCGGAGAGGGCAAGTCCATCGCTGGGACGCTCCTGTGATAATTATTCATGGTAACCTATGGCCCCTTTCCTAGGTCCATGGGGTCTGCGTCTGCCAGCACAACACCGCCGGCCCCAACTGTGAACACTGTGCACCCTTCTACAACGACAAGCCCTGGAAACCCGCAGATGACCAGGACCCCCATGAATGCCAAAGTATGAGCCTGGGATCACCCACCTCCCCTGCAGCAGCTGGTTGGGGTGCTGGCCCATCGGGGACACAAGGAGAATCTAGTCTTTATTATTTAAATCTAAACCTAATTGCATTCTGAAATTTACGCTCTCCTTGCTCTTTGGGGAAAGAGAGGGTATTTGAGAAAGTGTTTGAGTTGCATCTTCCCGCCGCTCCTGGCCCTCCTCCTCAGCCAGGCCTGGAGGGACCACGATTTGGTCCATGCTTCTGATGCCACGTGCCTTTCGTGCTAACCACAGGTCTTCCTACTTCTGGCCTATCCAGTGTAGGACATACGTGGTTCCCTGTTGTCATTCTTTCTACTTCAGATGTGCCTCCAGAGTTGAAATCCATGGAATTAGATTCCTGGAGGCCAGCCCTTCCCTGCATAAATGAGGGCAACAAAGATTCCCAGTCCAGAGAAGGGCAGTGACCCAGGAGGAGACCCAGCAGGTGGCAGTGGGGGAGGGTTGACATGGGACCATTCAAAGGGCTCTCTCTTTGGCTCAACATGGGTATTATTCTTGGGTCAGTCCCCACAATGGGAGTCAAGAGGCCTGAGTTCTCTGTTTTCCTTTCTTACTGGCTATATAACCTGAAATAAACTACAAAAGCCTCCCTGGGCCTCCCCTGTTTCCCAGACCTGAGCATCTTGCAGAGTTGCTGGGGATGCCAGTGAGTCAGTGTGGAACGTGCTTTGTACACGGCAACGATGCTGCTCAAATGTCAGCCCTAGTAATCCCTTTTGCAGGGTGTGACTGCAACGGACACTCAGAGACATGTCACTTCGACCCAGCCGTGTTTGCCGCCAGCCAGGGGACACATGGAGGTGTGTGTGACAACTGCCAACACCACACTGAGGGCAAGAACTGTGAGCGGTGTCAGCTGCACTATTTCCGGAACCGGCGTCCTGGTGCTCCCATTCAGGAGACCTGCATCCGTGAGTAGGGGCTCCAGGGACCCAAGGCAGCATAGGTCAGTTAATCCCCATCTGTTCTGGGCTCAACAGAGCACACGTTCCTAAGGACATACAGGCCCTCAGGAAGCGTGAAGACTTGGTTGTGTGTCAGGACTTGTGGGTAATTGTTTTTAACTTAGCTGTGCCCTTCTAAGCAAGTCAGTGTGGTTTGCTCCTTATTTTTCTGCTTCCTCCAACATTAAGGACCCCTCCATGGCAGGGGTTATTCTTATATCCTTGGGCCCTAGCACAAGGACAGACAAATAACTGATGCTCCAGGAATGTTTATTCAATGAACATGTAAGTCACCCAGGAGTGACTTAACACATCACAAGGGCCAGTGAGTTCATATGGGAGAGAGCAAAGAGATAGAAGCACTCCGATCCGGGTGGGGTTCATCAGGTAAGACTTCCTAGGTGAAGGAAGAGTCTTCGTTTTGAAAGCCATGAAAGGGGCTTGGGTTTTGGGGTGGGAGAAAGTTGGTTCACTTCCTGTTGATATTTATCTATTTATGGAAAGAGTGAGAAAGTCTTGAGTTTGACTTCTGTTTCCAGCACATGCTTGCTGTGTGACCTTGCGTATGTTCTTTGAACATCTCTGAGCCTCAGTCTCCTCATCTGTGCAATGGGGATGAGCATCCTCACCTCTCAGGATTATCGTGAGGATGACATAAGGTGACAGGCAAGAGTGCCCAGCTCCATGCTGGCCACAGAGTAGCCATTCAGTCAATAATGCCAACCACAACTTTTATAGTGCTTAACATGTGCCAAGCACTGTTCCGTCTGCTTTACACTTACTCATTGATTCCTCATAAGAAGCCTATGAGTGTTGTATAATTACCCCCATTTTATAGGTGAGAAAGCTGAGGCACAGAGGGATTCAATAACTCAACTAAGGTGGTAAGGTTGTAAGTCAGGAAGTGGTGGAACAAGGATTTGAACCAGGAAGCCTGGCTTCTCGAATGTGCTCTCTGCTCTTCTTCTTTGTCCCTCCTGCCGTGGCTGCCTTTGTCTCTCAGCCTGCGAGTGTGATCCGGATGGGGCAGTGCCAGGAGCGCCCTGTGACCCAGTGACCGGGCAGTGTGTGTGCAAGGAGCAAGTGCAGGGGGAACGCTGTGACCTGTGCAAGCCGGGATTTACAGGACTCACCTATGCCAACCCGCAGGGCTGCCACCGTGAGTAGGGGGCCCAGCCTGCCGCGGCGTGGGGCAGGCGCCTGGGGCCACCAGATCTGTGACCGGTCCTACTCACTGAGCTGCGTGCCGGGTGCTTTGCCACTGGCTTCCAGCAGGTGACAGCACAGGCCTGAGGTGGAAGGTGGGACAGAGTCCTCCCGAGGGAGGGCAGGCAGGTGGCCAAGCAGCCAGGTGTGGGGACTGGTGGGAAAGTGAGGGGGCCTTATGAGTCAGCCAGGTTATCTGGAGGGAACGGCCCTACCTCGTTCTTTTCCCAGGCTGTGCCCCTCCCTGGTGCACGTCCTCTGGGGGTAAGATTTTGGTGGCCTGGCCCCCGAGCTCAGCAGCCCTCCCTCCCGTGCAGGCTGTGACTGCAGCGTCCTGGGTGCCCGGCAGGACATGCCGTGTGATGAGGAGAGTGGACGCTGCCTGTGTCTGCCCCACGTGGTGGGCCCCAAATGTGACCAGTGCGCTCGCTACCACTGGAAGCTGGCCAGCGGCCGGGGCTGCGAGCCATGTGCCTGCGACCCGCACAACTCCCTCAGCCCCCAGTGTAACCAGGTACATGGCGGGGTAGAGCATGGGCCCCTCAGCAAGGGAGGGCTCCCGCCCACCAGCCTCTGTCTCCCCTCCGCACTGCCCTTCTGGGTCTTTCCAAAGTCAGACTGGGCTGCTTCTGTCCGCCTTCCCCTGGGGAGGCCACCAAATGTCCCTCCGTCCGTGGCTCTCAGCCTTTGGCAATGCCACATTCGCACACCTTCTGCAGGGCCTTCCTGGGCTTTGACTTCAGAGCTTGTGTCCTCGTGGGAGCCCTTGCTTTGGGGTGCGCTGGGGAGTTCTGCCCCCTGACCGGTCTCTCCCCGCACAGTTCACAGGGCAGTGCCCCTGTCAGGAAGGTTTTGGTGGCCTGACCTGCAACGCTGCAGCCATCCGCCAGTGTCCTGACAAGACCTACGGAGATGCAGCTATGGGATGCCGAGGTGTGCTCACTGAGTGGGGACGCGGAGGACATGGGGGGGTGTGCTCGGGTGGGCTCGTGGTGGGGACACGTGGGTCTGTGGTGGGGGAGGGCATCCCGTACTGGTCCACGCGGGGTGGGCCCTGGCAACCCATAGGAGCGCTCGCTCCCCACCGCTGCCCCGGGGCTGACACCAGGCCGTCCCCATGTCCCTATGTGCGCATGACAGGAGGGCTGCTTTGCTTCCCGCTTCCCTGAGAAACCATTTCCCAGAAGCCATCTGCAGGAAACGTCCTCCTCTCCCTCTTCATAGATGGAGAAAGTGAGTCCTGAGGGGGAGTCAGTTTGACAAGTAGTGACAAGGGCACGCAGACCCGAGTCTGTTCTCGGCTCTGTGACCTCGGGAGGAGTTGCTCCCCCTCTTCAGGCCTCAGTTTCCTCATCTGGGCAAGGGGCACACTGCCTCAGATGCTTCATCTGTGCGAATGGGAAAATGAGCGTGTTAACTCTGCCACAGAGTGTGTGGTGAGGGTCAGAAGCGTTAGCGTGTGCCTGGTGAGGCTCAGAACAGGGCCTGCCACGTCGGAGGTGCTACATAAGGGCTTGCTGTCATTACCATGATTTCATTCTGGCCTTGACTGTCTCATTCTAAGTGTGAAAGACCCTGAGGTCAGACCTCCTCTTCGGGCTTTCCCCACAAACACCTGATCTTCCTGACCCCCAGGCCTCTGACCATCATTTCTCCCCCCTTAGCCTGTGACTGTGACTTCCGGGGAACGGAGGGACCAGGCTGCGATAAGGCCTCGGGCCGCTGTCTCTGCCGCCCTGGCTCGACCGGGCCACGCTGCGACCAGTGCCAGCGAGGCTACTGTGACCGCTACCCGGTGTGTGTGGCCTGCCACCCCTGCTTCCAGACCTACGACGCCGGCCTCCGGGAGCGGGCCCTCCGCCTCAGCAGCCTCCGTAATGCCACCACCAGCCTGTGGCCTGGGCCGGGCCTGGAGGACCGCGGCCTGGCGTCCCGGATGCTGGACACGAAGAACAAGCTGGAGCAGATCCAAGCCATCCTCGGCGGCGCCTCGGTCACGGAGCAGGAGGTGGCCCAGGTGGCCAATGCCATCGTCTCCATCAGGTCATTCCCTCTCCCTGCCGAGCCACGTGGGTCCACATAGGGGCACACTGGTCCTTCCTTACATCGGTTACAGCCCTTTACCGTCTACCGAGTCTTCTCACAGGCGCCTCTCTTTTCACTGTCACGACAGTCCTGGGAGGTTGGCGTGGTGGGTGTTATTCCTTGCATTTTGCAGATGAGGAAACAGGCACAGATAGGTGACATGATAGAGTCACGTGGCCACCGAGGGGCAGAGCGGGGCACCGGGAGCACAGGCACGAGCCCAAGTCCTGAGTTCTTTCAAGTGCCCGGTGCCGCCCGTGGGAGAGTCAGCTCTGCATTAGTCAGCCTTGTGGAGGGCATCTGAGAGGCAGGGCTCTAAAAATAACTTGCGTTTGCCTTTGGAATGGGAGCAGTCCCACCCACGGTCTCCTCCCACCAGCCGAGGTGCCTTCTCAGTGAGGTTTCCTTCTGAAGTTTTCATGAGTTTGCTTTGCCTGAGCACTTGCTGACTGTGAGGGCCTGAGCCATCTAGGTGTTCCATCGACCTTGGTCTCAGCACTGAGTAGGGAGTCCGCAGGCGGTTGGTGGGCTGGGTGTGCAGGCCTGGTGGGGCTTTCCAGAAGGACGGTCCGTGCTGAGCAAAGCCCGGCCATGGAGTACGCGAGGCTGGTGGAGGGAATGGTGGTGGGTGGAGCTGCAGAGGCCCTGGGAGGGAGGAACGTCTGGAAGCTCAGCCATGGTGGGTCAGGGCAGGTGACCCCCTTCAGGTGGAGACCACCAGTGGGCTGCAGCTACGGGAGCTCTGTGGGGAGGTGTGGGCTGCAGAAGAGAGACTCGGGAGCCTGGGGTACAGGTGGTGGCTGATGTCGGCCTGTAGGCAGCAGAGGAGGGGGAGGGGCTCGGGGGGTGCTCCTCGTGGAAGCCGACGTTGGGAGGCGGAGGAAAGCGGGGACTGTTAGGGTCACACACGCCAAGGAGGGATCTGCCCGCACAGGGGTGGAGGGAGGTTGTGCTAGCTTTTGCCCAGCAGGATCCTCTCCAGCCTGCGGAGCCTCCCTTCTGTGGCTTTTACCGACGGCGTCTCTTTTTCCTGACTCAGTAGCGATTTCTCCGAGGGGATGGCTGGCTCTAGGGAGGAAGCCCCCTTCCTGTATTTTAGTGGAAGCTTCTCTCCCACTTCAGGCAGACTCTCCAGGGCCTGCAGGTGGATCTGCCCCTAGAGGAGGAGACCTTGTCCCTCTCGGGAGACCTGGAGAATCTGGACAGAAGCTTCAATCGCCTCCTCGTTATGTATCAGAGCAAGAGGGAGCAGTTTGAAAAAATAAGCAGTGCCGATCCTTCAGGTGAGGAGGGGCACACAGACGCCACACCGGGCCAGGCTTCATCCCCGTCTCCAGGCCTCCGGGTCCAGGGCCAGCTTGGTCCCCTCTCTTCTTCCCACAGGAGCCTTCCGGATGCTGACCGCGGCCCACCAGCGGTCATCCCAGGCTGCTCAGCAGGTCGCGGATAGCTCCCGCTGGCTGCTGCAGCTCAGGGACAGCCGGAGAGAGGCGGAGAGGCTGGAGCAGCAGCTGGGAGGAGCAGGAGGGGCCGGCGGCCCCCAGCTCGCGGCCCTGAGGCTGCAGATGGCTTCCTTGCCTGATCTGACACCCGCCGCCAACAAGGTGACTCCTGTCATGGAGCCCCACTTCCAGAGGCCCCCCGCCCCAGCTTGTCACTCACCGACTGTTGCTCCGCATTCCCCCCTGGGGCCACGTGGACCTCCCACACCCCCCCATCCCGACCCTTGACCCCGCATAGTGTGTTCAGCAGTTACCAAGGAAACACGTTTCTGGTGCCCAAGTTGCCGTGGAGATGTCTGGCTGCTTGTTTCCCAGGTGTGGGAGGGGAGTGATCACTGAGGAGGCTTGGGGACCCCCTCTGATGCCCCCCCATCTCTCCACAGCTCTGTGGGGGCCCCAGGGAGATGACTTGCACCCCGGGAGCATGCCCTGGGGAGCTGTGTCCCCGAGACAACGGCACGGCCTGTGGCTCCCACTGCAGGGGTGCTCTCCCCAGGGCAGGTGGGGCCTTCCGGACGGCAGGGCAGGTGGCCGAGCAGCTGCGGGGCTTCAACGCCCAGCTCCAGCAGACCAGGCAGATGGTAGGTGTGGCTGAGGTGGGGTGGGCCCGTGGTGGAGGAGGCAGAGGGGACAGAGCCCCTAAGCGAGTCAGAGCTCCCATTCTGCAGCCAGGAGTCGAAAGCCCAGAGATGTCGGGTGACTTTCCCGTGGCCCTACAGCAAGTGAGAGAGAGAATTTGAGGCCAGTGTTTTTACATCATCTCTTCTGGGGCCAAACTGAGCTAGTTACAAAAGTTTCCTAGGGAGATCTTGGGTAGCAGGTGCCGCCAGAATCCTCGGGGGCTGCCCAGAGGCCCTCTTGGGGCTTTAACCACTGCTGACCCATAGCGTGTGTCAGCAGATCAGGGCAGCCGAGGAAGCCACCTTGCAGGTGCAGTCAGATGCTCAGAGCCTGGAGATGCAGGTGAGCACCAGCCGCTCCCAGATGGAGGAAGACGTCACACGCACGCGGCTCCTCATTCAGCAGGTCCGGGACTTCCTCTCAGGTGAGCTGGTCTTCACCTTTCCCCAGGCTGATGTTTCGACTTCCGCCTGTCCTCAGTGCCCCATTCCCTGTCCCTCATCTCATTTGTCAGTCAGCTACTTCCTTCCCTGGTCTCCATGCCCCTGGACCAGCCCCCATCACTCACCTGGATGGCTGCAGGGCCCCTAGGTGACCCCCCACCTCCTTCCTGCTCCCTCATAGCCCGTTCTCAGCAGAACAGCCTGTGTAAGCGGGGTCACATCCCACTCATGTCTAAAATCCTTCGCTGGCTTTCCCTTGTTCTTGGGATAAACTCTCAGCTCCTTACCATGGCCTCTGTTACCTCCTGGGTATGGCCTGTATCCTCTCCGCTTTGCTCACTAACCGTCTTTGAACAGGCCAGGCTCTTGCCAGCCTCGGAGGCTCTTGCTGTTCCTCTGCCTGGGATGCTCTCTCTAAGGCTGCTGATTCTTGCCCTCGAGGTCTGAGTTTAAATATCTCCCTCGGGGGGCCTTTTCTGACCACCCCCTCTGGTCATCCCCCTCCCCCATATTCCCCTCTGGAGTCTGACCTTCACTGCTGTACTCCGAGCCTGTGGTTGTTGAGCTCACCTGTCTACAAGTGTAATGTTTGTCTCCCAACTGGACTCTAAACTCCGAGAGGGCAGGGATGGCTGTCTGTCTTATTCACTGTGTCCCTGGCACTTAGCATAAGTCCAGGCCCAGAAAAGCACCCAATGTTGATTGATTGAATAAGTGAACCCGATCTCCTCCCTTGCCACCTGGGGAGTGGGAAGGTCCCTGGACAGGACTCAGGGAATCTGTGGGACTTTGGGCAAGTTGTTTTCCTCTTTGCCTCATCTTTTCGCTTCTGCCAACGGGGATGATAGTATTTTACAAGTTTATTCCGGGTGTCAAGCAACGACATAAAATGTGTTTTGACAAATTAAAGATGCCCTAGGAGTATGAACTGATATTATTAAATTTCTGGTCCCTGCCAGGGAATGTGCTTGGCTGGGAGCCCAGTTAACAGGAGCTGACGGCCTGGTGTAATGACAGTCGTTCTTCCTGCTACTATTGCAGTGCTTCTGGTTCAAGAGGCCAGAGCCCCCTCTGGGGTGCAGGTGGCGGGTTGGAGAGAAGCAGGGACAGGCCAGAGTTTGGGGATGGGACTCACAAATAAGGAAGACCTTCCCTGAGTGAAGCTGCGTAAGGCAGCCTAGGTGGCCCCCCATCCTGCATTAACCCCAGCTAGGGGGTGGTGGGATGGGAAGCCTGTCCTTGGGGTGCAGTCTGGGCTCCAATGAATGGGCAGGGAGTGGCCGGGCTGCGGGGTCCCTGCTGTCCCCTCAGTTTGTGTCTTGTATCTCAGGTTGAGTCCTTGGACAGGATGAGGGGCAGAGAGAAGGAGCAGGGCCTGAGAGAGGCCTGGTCCCTGGGAGGGACCTGGGACAATTCTTACAGTCTCCATGGCTGTGTATTCTAAGGTCCAGAGTCCCGCTGCAGGAAGCATGGGTACCAGCTGCTGTGGGCGCACAGGGTCACAGCGAGGGCGGGAGACTGGAAGGCCAGTGGAGGAGGGAGGGGACATCATCTTTCTCAGGTCATCAAAGGAAGTGACAAAGATAATAGGTCAGGTTTACTGAGTTCTCACTAAGTGCTGGGCACTGTTCTAAGTGCTTCACATTATTTAATCCCGACTGCCTACCACTTTGCATGTGAGGACTCCAGATACAGGGAGGTTAAGAAACCTGCCTAGAAGCATCCAGCTTAGAGGGAGTACGGGTAGGGTTCACCTCACTCCGGAGTCCACACTCTAGATTATTGCGTTATGAGATGGACCACCTCCCAGCGCCCCACCACCCACCTTGCTTCTTTGCCTTCTCTAATGTTTGTCCTCTCCCTGCATTGTCTCCCCTGCCCTGCCCCACCCCTCCCGACCTGGCTAATTCCTACACACCCTCTAAGGATCCCCTGGGTATCTCATTCTCCAGGAAGCTTTCCTGGACCTGTCAGACTGGGTCAGGAGTCCCTGTAACAGCCGTCCTAGCACCCTGAGCTTACCCCCGTCACTCAGGGTTGTGCTTCCTTGCCCCACTAGATTTCAAGCTCCATGAGGGCAAGGCCCAAGGCCAATCTGACCTGCAGTCTCAGCTCCCCACATCCTGCAGCTCGGAGCAGTGAGTGTTTGCTGAGCCCACCCTGAGACTCAGAAACCCATGAAACTGAATGTAACTCAGACCAAGCCCACGGGTGCAGCTGAAGTGAGGCAGAACAAAGGAAGGGCAGGCGCTAGGTGAGGGTGTGCTTGCCGTAAGAGGCTTTCTAGGGAAGGCACATATAAGCCGCGTTGAGGGTAGGACTCTGGGTTAGGTGAGAGGTTGGTGGTCTCTATGGGGAGGTCCCTGTGAAAGCTCATAATTGGGGAAAAGCCCACTTCATTAAACTCAGCCACAATTATGCCTTGAGCTCCTGCGGTGTGCTGCCCTGGCCCCAAAAGGACATAGCAATAAAGAGGCATGGTTTCCACCTTCCAGGAATGTCCTTCCACCTGGCATGAGGAGGGGACTGGGTCTAGGACCTCTGTAGCCAGCTGGTGAGGAAACCTTTGATTGCAGAGTAAGGCTGGGTGGGCCCCAGAGGAGTTAAGTCCTAGGGCAAACTATCTGCGTGGGCGGGTGCCCCCTTCCCTACCGTGTCAGTACCAGTGGAATCTGTAAAAATGACCATGGGGAGGAGATGCCATCTCTGTACTTCTGACCTTACTCTCTGACCCAGAGTTGGATTGTGAAATTCCTGCTAAATTGATTTTTTCATATCATCCCTTGAGGTTGGGCATCGTGATTCCCATTTCACAGATCAGGAAACTGAGCTCAATGAAGCCAGTTGACTTGTCCCGGTTTGCTTGAATAGTAAAGAGGAGGCCTGAGACTAGAGCCCCTTCAATCATTCGTTCAATGTACAAACAGAGTGCCTCCAAGTGCCATGCACTGTGCTAGGGGCTGGGCTATAGCTGTGGGTGAAAGCCAGTCCCCGTCCTCACGTCATTTACATTCTAGTGGGGAAATGACAGAAAACCTAATAAATGAGTTAAGCGTCCAGCACGTGGGTGGCGATAAATGTTAGGGAGGAAGATAAAGCTGAGAAGGAGGGTAAGGAGTGTTGGCAGAGGGTAGAGGTTGCGATCCTAGATTGGATGGCCTGGGCTGGCCCCTCTCAGAAGGTGACATGTGAGCAAAGCCCAGGTAATCTTGATCTGCCTTTGCAAAAGCGAGCACTCTGCCCCAGAGGAGGGGCACGTGGAAGGGTTCTTATTGCCAAGGAAGCAGTTCCAGTGCCTGGCTGGTCTCCCCACTTCAGGGCTGATTATATCTGTGCTCCAGGCATTGTTCAGTACCAGCTGCCTGGTACCACCTCCTTCTCCCCAGCCTGCAGCTTCTTGTGGTGCCACTCAGTTGCCACAGCTGTGCCGACAGCCATCCTCCCGCGGCAGCGAGCCCGGAAATCCTCAGAGCAGGGCGCCTGAGTGTGCCTGGGAGGGAGCCGCAGCTCCTTGGGCAGCCCAGGCAGAGATGGCATGGAGGTGCTGCCCACGGGTGTTGTCAGCCTGGAGAGGCCTCTGATCTTTGGGGAGGTGGCTGAGCTCCCCCATTCCAATGGATGGTTTGTCTTCCAGACCCTGACACTGACATAGCCACCATCCAGGAGGTCAGTGAGGCCGTGCTGGCCCTGTGGCTGCCCACAGACTCCGCCACAGTCCTGCGGAAGATGAATGAGATCCAGGCCATCGCAGCCAGGCTCCCCAACGTGGACCTGGTGCTTTCTCAGACCAAGCAGGACATCGCTCGGGCTCGCAGGCTCCAGGCGGAGGCTGAGCAGGCCAGGTGTGGCCCTGGGCCCTGAACTTCTCCCAGGATCGGGCTGGGGCTTTGCCCCTCAACTCTGTTGCTGGAAGCAAGAGAGGAACGTCTGCAAGCCAGAGGGGTGCCGAGGGCTGGGAGACGGGAGAAGGTGCTTCCTGTAGTAGGGGATGGTGACGTGATATACAGCATCCAGCCGAAACTTCATTCGGCACAGCCCCGTCTTCCTTATTGGAAACCGTCCCCAGAGGCTGCCTCAGACAACCTGCTTGGTGGGGTCCTGGGGTGGAAAAGCTACTGAGTTAATACTTGGCTTCTTATCATGGCTGGAAATGATATTCTCTGGACTGGGGAGTGAGTTGGATCCCACGTCTCTTCATTCACTGTGCACCCATTCCACCCTCCCCCCTTTTCCATTCCCCCGGCCCCAGGAGCCGAGCCCACACAGTGGAGGGCCAGGTGGAGGATGTGCTGGGGAACCTGCGACAGGGCACGCTGGCACTGCAGGAGGCCCAGGACACCATGCAAGGCACCCGCCGCTCCCTTCAGCTTATCCAAGACAGGGTTGCTGAGGTAGGCATTATGGCTTCCTCCCCCCAATTGTGGGAATGAACATTCAGACTCCGGTGCAAGGCATAGACGATGCCAGGAAGTGACCCGGGTGGAAACTGAGCTGGGGCCCTGAAGAAGGGAGCCTATGAGCCTTGAGCCTGGCTTCGAGCCTTTGGTTTTCTGCTCTCGTGGCTGCTGCAGGAGTGGGTGGGGTTGGTCAGCTGAGCTGGAGAACTGGGAGACCTGGATGCCGGGGGCACATAGAGGATTGGGATGGTGGCGATAGTGATGTCCTGCTTTTAGAGAGTTTTTGTGGCCTGATGAGTTGGAGGAGAGAAGAATGAAGGTCACTGCCTATGAGATCCACCCCAAACTCTGGGTCTCTTTTTCCACAAAGGTTCAGCAGGTGCTGGGGCCAGCGGAAAGACTGGTGACCAGCCTGATGGAGCAGCTGGGTGGCTTCCGAGCACGGATGGAGGAGCTCGGCCGCCAGGCCAGGCAGCAGCGGGCACAGGCCGCCCAGGCCCAGCAGCTGGCAGAGGAGGCCAGCAAGCAGGCACTGAGTGCCCAGGAGGTACCTAGAGGCAGAGTTAGCCCAAGCAAGCATGGCCGGCGGGAGCAGGACAGGACTCTGTACACTTCATAAGACCATGGGCTCCAAAGCACTTCGAGTACCAGTTATTCTGAAATATCCAGCAGGGGCTTCAGGATTAAGGGGCACCTGGCCAGGCACCTGAATTCTCCCTCTGGATGCCTTTGGTGGAGCTGGTTCAGGGATGCTGGAAACAGCCAGTCCGATCCCTCTCCTCTCACAGATGAAGTGGTGACTCTGTCCAGACCTAAAGCTCATCTACAAAGGAGGTCTCTTGACACCTGATCCAGAGCTTGTCCCCTGTCATGGTTATCCAGCCCAGACAGAAACTCTTGACTTAGCCCAACCTGAGCCCCATCACTGTCAGAATTAGGTCAGAGAGAAAGTCGAAGAGCCAGTTTCAGTGTCTCCAGGGTACCGGTGGTCCCGGTACAATGGCCAAGCTGCCAAGCATACTATTAAGTGACGACTGTGTACCTGGCCCTGTGCTGGCACTGTAGATGAAGGGAGGGGAAATACAGAAGTTAAGGTATGGCTTGTGGCCCAGGGGCTTTTATGGGCAGAATCAACCCATTGGGGATATTAGGAGGCACCTCATCTCTGTGTGCTGATTTGGGTTACATCAGGTCCTTTAGCCAAAGGTCTTTAGGACTTGGGATGATGATGATGTGGAGACTGTTCTTCCTTTTTCAGGGATTTGAGAGAATAAAGCAAAAGTATGCTGAGTTGAAGGACCGGCTGGGTCGGAGCCCCACGCTGGGAGAGCAGGGCAGCCGGATCTTAAGCATCAAGATGGAGGCGGAGGAACTGTTTGGGGAAACCATGGAGATGATGGACAAGATGAAAGGTGAGGGAGTGGTCCAGGGGCTTTGACTTCAGGGCATCCCTGAAGGCTGCTCCCAACCCAGGGTTTCTGAGGCCTAATGTTTGGAACTAGCAGTGCTAAGGCAGTGAGATCAATAGGGATTTCCTGAGCACCTAGTAAGTACAAGGCATATAATGTGGCTTTGAGGCGTGTGGACATGTTCACAAAGACTAGGCCTGCCCTCAAGAGGCTCCATTTTTTCCTATTGGCCACCAGCTTCATGAAACTATTTAATAGCACAAAGAGGACTGTGATAAAAGCCCGAATAATAGAAGCTCTAGGGGCTCAGAGGATAAATAACGTCAGAGAGAAATGTTCAGGGAAGGTAATGTTCAAAAAAGATAAGATTTGAGGTGGGCCTGGGAGGATGTATAAGCCTGGAAGAGGCTGTGAGGAGGAGAAGGGACATCAAGACATGTTCTGAGGATGGAGGCGGGATCACCCAACTGGAGAGGAGGGTTGATGAGGAGAGAACAGGTGGGAGAGAAGTAGCATGGAGCCAGTGTGGCTGGTCCACGTGGCCAGCCCCGATGCCAGGAGGAGGTGGGTAGACTCAGCCCTGGAGGCAGTAGGAAACCATCCAAGGGTTTTGAATACGGCAAACCATAATGAAAGAAGCTTTCGAAAGGGTTCTGAGGTTCCTCGGAAAGGAGAACAGAGATTTTCAGGCTCAGTCTCTGAGATGTGATGATGGGGTCACTGCCCTGTGAATGACAAAACCAGAGCCTCTTTGAATTTTAGAGAAAGCTTTGGACAAAAATCTGTTTGGCTAGCTAGATGGACACTATGGAGAAAGGCAGGCTGGCAAGTTGACAGTGGCTGTGGCCGGTCAAAACTGAAGGGGGAGGCGAGAGGAGCTGACCTAGATGGAGGAGTCCAGGGCTGGGTCAGTGCACGCCCTGGCCCTGTCCCTCAGTGTCTTGTATGAAGATAAAGAATTTGCTAATCAGATCTGAGGATGACAGGTAGTTAATGCACTAGATAACAGAACCAGCATTCTAAGGCAGTCTCAGAAGTCTAAAAGAATGGGCTGAAACTAACAGGATAAAATTAAGTAAGGAGAAAAATTCCCTCTCACTCTGGCCTTGTTTGGACCTAAACTCACAAGTATAGCTCAGGTGAGGTCTGGCTTCTCAGTGGATAATGTAGCTAAACACTTTATAACTGGTTAGTGATAAACACGTATGAATTGTTACTCACCCGAAAAAGACCCAAGAGTTTTGAGTAACTGTAAGCTTGATATAAGTCAGAAGTGCCTTTGCTCCTGCCAAAAGAGCTAATAAATTCAAAGCAGCCAAGACAAAGGGAGTAATGGCTCAAGGATGATATTAAGAATATTTAGTAACTGGTGTGTCCTGCACTTACCAGCCAGAAAGGCTCAGGTTGTAGCACTGGAGCAAGCATTTACCTGCTTGCAGGAATTTACCTTTAATTGCAGGGTTATGGGGAGGACCATGCTTAAGGAGCCTTTGGGGATGGGGGTCGGGGAACAGAACAGCAACTGTAAAAATTTCAGTGTTTTATTAACCCATAGGTCCATGTGGGTACCCACTGGCTGAATGTCAGTCTGTTGATAACCCTGTTACACTCTGCTGATCTCCCAGGTGAGATCGAGTTCAATGGAGGCTACTACAGCTTCCAAAGGGATATTGACGAACCCACACACTTGAGAGGAAGGGTGGCCAGGGTTGGGATGTAGGGAAGGCCTGGTGATTATATCAGATGGGGAGTGGATGAAGGAGCTAGGGAGGTTTAATCTGGGGAAGATGGGGCCTCAGACATGTGGAGGACTGCCATGTAGGAAACAGAAAGAATAGATTCCTACACCCCAGGAGACAGACCTGGGACAATTGGGTGGCAGCACGATGTGCTCAGATTCTGGCTTAACGAGAAGACTTTTTAACAAGCAGAACTGCCTAAGGTTGGAGCCTTGTGAGACAGTGCCCCCTGGCCCTGTTCCTGGAAAGTTCAGGCTGAGGCTGGGTACCAGCTCTCATGAATGTGGTACAGGGGGCTCCTGCCTAGGATGACAGGGGGGACAGGCTGGACTCGATCAATTTGGAGTCCTTCATCTCCTCCACACATAATCTGGTGGTGGTATGTGGAATGGACTGAAGGGGGAGGACTACATTTATCTGAAGTGGCATTTTTGGGGAGAGACAATGGGGAGGAATTCTGGTCACCCAGCTCTTTTGCCCTGGTGCCCACCTGAGGAATCATGGGTGGGATGGCAGCCGTCTGGGTCCAACATAGCGGGTTTCTTATCTTGGTGCCAGTGGCCTCCCTCATCAGCCTGGGACAACTCTGCCTAGAGCAGAGGAGAAGAGTAGGGGCAGAGGATCCTTGGGGTAAGGGCTTCCTGGGTCTGGCCCCCGCCATGTTTCTCTAAGAGTGGGATGGGGGCTGGAGAGGCCTGAGGCTGGAGAGAGCTGCCTTAGGGGCCAGACTCCCTCAAGGTGGAGGTGATTTCTCCCGCAGATGCTGCGCCCAGTGGGTGGGAGGAGAAGGAAGGGTTGGGAGTCTTCAGGTGTCTCACCAGCTCGTCTTCCTCCCCCTGGTGTTCCATCTGCCCTCAGACATGGAGTCGGAGCTGCTTCGGGGGAGCCAGGCCATCACGCTTCGCTCGGCGGACCTGACGGGGCTGGAGAAGCACGTGGAGCAGATCCGGAACCACATCAATGGGCGCGTGCTCTACTACGCCACCTGCAAGTGATGCGCCAGCGTCCAGCCTGTGGCCCTGCTCATCTGCCCTCTTTGCTTCTGGGGGCCAGGCTGGCTTGGAATACTGTCCAGCTGCAGGAAGATTTTATGCAACCTAAAGCACAGCCTGGACCACCCTGGTGTGCAGTTGTTAGGATTACTCTGGGCTGCAGCTGAGCCTGGGCTGATGGGACAACTACCGCTGAGGGACAGACATGGTGGAGGCGGGCCACATCATTGTAACCAGGAGCTCTCAAGTGGAGGGCGCTTGGCTGGGCAGTGTCCTTGCCCTTCATTCTCCGTTGAGGCTGAATCCTGGACCAACACAGAAACATAACTAAAAATGATGTACAAGTGAAAAGCCCAATAAAAATCTATAGAAAGGAGCCTGGAGTTTCAAAGAGGGGAAGTAGTCTGTCTCCCTGTGAAGTAAACACTTCTCATTTGTTTCTGTCTCCCATCTGGGGTTCCTGGGTACTCCTCTGTTCAAGCCCGAGGCCTGGTGGTGGGTGAAGAATAGGCTGCCCCCACTCTGCTCAGTCTAGCGACTCATCACCCAGACTTAGGGAGACGGGGCCCCTTTGCTCCAGCAACTGATGGATTCTATACTTGAGAGACCAGAGGAGGTGTTTTCACCTCTGAACAACTATACAGTTTCTCGTTTACAGAAGAAAATGTAGAAATCCAGAGACGGGAAGCAAGCTGTTCAGAATCACACAGCTCCTAGAGGCAGAACTAAGACCAGACCCTGTGTCTCTAGAGATCTCAGAAAGAAGCTGTAAATGGATGTGTGTGTGTGTGTGTGTGTGTGTGTGCTGAAAATATGGAAATGGCACGAACGTTTGTGTGCTAACTGTGGCCCGGACGCTGTGCTAGCATTTTATCTACATGAACTTCTTGGTCTTTATTGATCAGAGTAATTACTTATTGAGCTCTATGCTAGATACATCATCTGCACTATCTCATGATGTAGGTGGCACTGTTGTCCCCAAGTGAGGAAACCAAGGCACAAAAGGTTCAGTGACTCCCCCAAGGTCACAGATGTGGCAGGCAGGGCAGAGCTAGGCCTCAAACCCAAGTTCATCTATTACAGGCATTAGGAGGATGGCTGCTCGGGCTGGACAGTCTGGGTTCCGGTGGCACCTCCGCCAAGGGGTTGTTCTGAGAAGGAAATGAGTTGATGCGTGTAGCTCATGTCACTAGGTGCCTGGCCCACCGTGTGTCCCCCGACCACTCCTACCGTCGCTAGATCCTACCTGACCTCAAGCTCTCTGTGCATTTTCCACTCCAGGAGGCCCAGAAGCCCCCGAGCTGCTTCTGACTTAGAGAGGAACCAAAAGAAGCCTCATAGAAAAAAATATGTTCATTTTATTCAGCACAACACAGAGCCTGAAGCTGGAGGGAGCGGGAGACCAGAAAACTGGGAAGGGACAAGAACAATGTGTCTGATTTTCAGGGAGAGAGAGGGGAGCAGAGCCAGGATTTGAATTACTCGCTGAAAAAACAGTCAACTTCCAGTTTTCACTTCATTGAGTGTGTGTGTAGAGGGCATCTGGCCAGGATAATAATTCCTGACGGTACCTTGCCTTGGGTTTCTTTCTTTTTCATCTTGGAGGGTGTGGTCCTGCTTTTGGATGGGGGCAGGGAGAGAGGTGGATCAGAAGAGTGCTGGGCGTAGGCTGGCCAGGTTTGGAGCTAATCCTGGAGTTAGGATTTGAACCTGGAGAGCTCACAAGCAGACCACGAAGCTGCCTGTCATTCATGCAGATGCGCAGGCCACTCCATTAACGAGCCCATTCTGGCTACGAGGACGGAGGCTGGAGAGGCAAGATCCAGGGTGTGCTGAGCGGGGAGTCTGGGTCGATGCTCCATATGGCTTTGCTCGGAGATGGTGACACAGCTTGGCCAGCCCATTAAGCTTTTCAGGACAAACGACACAGACCTGGGTGAGAGCTATCTACGGACACTCTGCAGAGCCACGGCACGTAGGGTTGGGGGCACGGAGCAGGCAGGCCAGGGGGACCTGGAAGCCTCGGGTGCCGCTCCGCCCGCCCACAGCTTCGGTGAGGCCTCCACGCTTGGGGACTCACTCCTGGGCCTTCTGTGAGGGTCTGTCCCAGGTGGCAGCTGTCTGCTGCTTCTGATCAGGCCTTGCTCGGCTTGCTCTCCCTTCTTCCCACTGCAGCGTAGACTCCAGGTTTGGAAAGGCAGAGAAGAGGTGAATAGCTATCTCTCCTGCAGAAGAAGGGGGTTCAGGGTGGGGGGGGTGCTGTCGCCTCTGGTACCCCTTGGACCCCATCACTGAGACTCTGTGACTGCGATTTCCCCCTGAGCCCACGGCCCTGGCCCTCCTCCCTCTAGTTCCCTCACCTGAAAATTGTAGTGACATAGACACAGGCCCCTGGGATCACATAATGAGACAGACTCCAGTCTGCCCCACCCGGCAGTGGGAGCTGCCGCTGGCTTTAACTGGCACCATGACCTCTGATTTGAAGTTCCTGGAAAGGAAATGGAGCGGCCGGCTATGATGGAGCATTTGAGGAGGAAGGAGAGCCGGGATAACTCTCTGTGCCTGTGGCTGCCACTCAGCCCTCCCTTTATGAGGTTCAGAAAGTACGAGCCTTTATAGAAAAGATGAATGAGATAACCAAGCCCCCAATGTCCCCCCCAAAACACAGAGGCCCTGGAAACTCAAGGAATCTAACGCCCACCACTCACATCTACCCAGCTTTCTGCAGGCATTTATAATCCCTGTTGCCTCACTAAACTTTGACAGTACCTCTGTGGGGCAGGCTGAGCAGGTATGATCCAATCAACCCATTTTACAGATGAGCAAACTAGAAACAGAGATATGGATTGAAAAGACAGTGGCCACACAGCTGGTGAGGGGTGCGGACAGGACTGGAGGCATTTCCCTTGACCCCCTCCTCCCTCCCCATCCAGAGCTCTTCCACCCTACAGAGCTGCCCCCAAATGGGAGAGGCTCTTTGGTCAATTTCTTTCAGCTCCATTGCCTGAGTTCTTTCAGACCCAGGCTGAGCAGGGCTAGGCCTTGGGCTTTGGCTGAAAATACGTACTGTTTTCTGTTGGCCTTTTTGAGGAGCGTGGGCTCAGAGCAGTAGGAGGACTTCCCTTTGGTCCCGACGCTCAGGCAGCTGGAGCAGCAACCGCAGGGCCCGACGGCCAGGGGCCCCTGCTGCATGGGCACAAGGCTGCTGCTGATGCGGAGGGAGCCGTGGATCAGGCAGTTGAGGGACTTGCCCCCAGGGGCGGTGGGCTGGGGGCCATGTTGGCAGGGCAGCCGGGTCAGGGCAGGGAGGGCCACACTCTGGTCCAGGGCGGGTGCCTCGGTGATGGTGAACTCAGGGGAGCTGGGTCTTGAGGCTTCAGACGCTTGAGCGATGGGTGGCCCGTGCTCCACCTCCGGGCGGACACCTGGGCTGTGCAGGTTCATGTGCAGCTTCCTCATGTGGTGGACCACGGCTGCTGCGTTGAAGGCTTGCTGAGGAGATACGAGACCAGTCTCTGGCCATCTCCATCCTCAGAGGACCGTGAGGCTTAAGCTTTCCCTTTGCCCTGGGACCTCTTGAAACCGATGTGTGCACTTCTCATTTCAGAGAGGGCTCAGGGAACTCCAGGGTCTGCCGGGAGACCCCAAGGAAAGCCCCTCCCCCAGCTGCCCCAGCCCAGCCTCCAGGGCCTAGACGGCCTGCCCGCCTCCTGGAGAGGACCACTCACCCTCCACTTGCTCTTGGCAAAGTTCTTCTGGATCTGGAGGCTGACTGACGGGTAGATGTCCCGGTGGAGAGCTGTGTTTCCGTTAATCCTGTGGACGTGGAGGGGACCCCTGGCTAGTGGTGGTTACAGGGACTCAGCCAGGGGTTGGGCAGGGGGCTGGGCATGCAGGTCCAGGGTAAACTGAGTGGACTGCCTCAGGACAAGGGCAGCCGGAGCTACGAAGGGGCTGGAGGCAGGGCTCCTCTCTCTGCCGGGCGGGCCATAGGGGGCCTATGCTTTAGAAACTTGCTTTAGAGCTGGGTGGGCAACCTATAGCCTGTGGGCCAAATCTACTCATTGCCTGCTTTTGTAAATAAGATCTTGCTGGGACACAGACGCGCCCGTTCATTCAGCTGTGGGCTATGCTGCTTCCGAGCTGCAACAGGCAGATTGAGTGGTTGCCATGGAGATGATACGGCCAGCAAAGCCTAAAATATTTCCTATCTGGCACTTTATAGAAAAAGAGTTTACTGACCCCATCCCCCCACCCCATGTCAGAGGGCGTTTGGGCTGTCACCATCCTTTGGCTCAAAACTTTGCTCAGAAACCACCTTCTCCTGCAAACGTTCCTCAGTAAAGCCACCCAATACAGGCTGCCCTTTTCTTGTCCCCTCAGCCTGTTATTCATCCATCTCTAAGTGTCCCTCAGACACTTGCCACGTACATAATACTTTCTAGGTACTTAGGGACCCAGAGAAGTAACAGACGTGGCCCTGATCGCTAGGGGCTTACAGTGTAGGTTTGAAGCCTTGTTTCATGCCACGAACTAGAGTAATTCATGGTGAGCTGTGTAATGGATAAGGAAAGACGGGAGGTCTGTCCAGATTGCAGGAGACAGGGCTTTAGAGAAGGACAAAAACTGCTCTGGAGCCTGAAGAATGCTACATCGATTGCAGGGCATTCGATGTGGTGAGAATGGTATGATCCAAGGTGTAATTTGGGAAAACTTGGTTTGGAAGGCGGGGGAGGGCAGGGAGAGCAATATAGCTATTAGGCCTTTCTGGAATACAGAAGGTAGGCTGGGAATCCTGAGAAATGAAGTTGGAGGTAACGGGTCAGGCCAGATTAGGGAAAACCTAGGCTTGCTGTGGTGGCAGTTGGGGAGCTTGTAAATTTTCCAGCAGGGGTGTAGCATGAAAAAAGAAGTGTTTCAAGACTTTATTTACCTGCTTTACCAATTGGTTGTTTTGTGATTGTTCTCAGCGCACCTTGCATGGAACAGACTTTGATCCCAGAGTAAAATGATGCTCTTAAGGACAGGGCAAAGTTACCTGTCTAGCTGTATCTGCCTCCTGAACTTGACTAGACGACCCAGCTGCCACCATTGGGTCAGAATCCACTTACTTAAATGCTATTTTCTTCTCTAGCTGGACCTGGTATGTGCCCTTTGGATGTCAAACAGTAAACAGCTAAGGCAAGCGGACTCCAGGGAAACACGCTGTGAACGAGTCAGCATTTGTGGAAGGACAGGTGAGGGTCTAGAGCCCATCCCCCGTTCCTCACTCACCAGGGGTGCCTCAAGGCCTTCTCACAGGTGTACCGCTCATTCGGGTCCTTCTCCAGCAAGTGGCAAATAAAATCCTTGGCTGGGGGAGCAATCAAAGATACAACAGATA